TCAGCTCAAAAGTTTGTGGAATAAATCATATCTAAAATGTACAAAATATGATGAGTCTGTACTTGTGATCTATCACTCCATTCATATTTTTTAGATTTGCATATACAGGGTGACTCAAAAAAATTAATGAATGCGTAAATATATTTTATTGATTTAATCAGGAACTACAAAACCGAATGCTCTGAAATCTTGCAGATGTTTTAAGGTCATAAAGAGCATAATAAATATTTGGTCAAAATATATTTGCTTATCCCCTCCAAAAACTTGATGACGTCAGCTCGAAAGTTTGCCGAATAAATCATATCTAAAATGTACAAAATATGATGAGTCTGTACTTGTGATCTATCACTCCATTCATATTTTTTAGATTTGCATATACAGGGTGACTCAAAAAAATTAATGAATGCGTAAATATATTTTATTGATTTAATCAGGAACTACAAAACCGAATGCTCTGACATCTTGCAGATGTTTTAAGGTTATAAAGAGCATAATAAATGTTTAGTCAAAATATATTTGCTTATCCTCTCCAAAAACTTGATGACGTCAGCTCGAAAATTTGCCGAATAAATCATATCTAAAATGTACAAAATATGATCAGTCTGTACTTGTGATCTATCACTCCATTCATATTTTTTGGATTTGCATATACAGGGTGATTCAAGAAAATAAATGAAAGCGTAAATTTATTTTACTGATTTACTCAGGAACTACAAAACCGAATGCTTCGAAATCTTGAAGATATTTTAAAATTATCATAAGCATGGTAAATTTTTGATCAAAACGTATTTGGTCGTCCCCCCTAAAAAATTTATGACGTCACCACAAAATTTTGCTGAAAAAATCCTATCTAAAATGTACAAAATATGGTGAGTCTCTTCTTGTGATTTATCATTCCATTCAAATTTTTTCGATTTGCATATACAGGGTGACTCAAAAAAATTAATGAATGCGTAAATATATTTTATTGATTTAATCAGGAACTACAAAACCGAATGCTCTGAAATCTTGCAGATGTTTTAAGGTCATAAAGAGCATAATAAATATTTGGTCAAAATATATTTGCTTATCCCCTCCAAAAACTTGATGACGTCAGCTCGAAAGTTTGCCGAATAAATCATTTTGGATTTGCATATGCAGGGTGACTCAAAAGAATTAATGAAGGCGTGAATTTATTTTATCGATTTAATCAGGAATTAGAAAACCGAATGCTTTGAAATCTTGGGAATATTTTAAAGTTATTATAAGCATGGTAAACTTTTGTTCAAAATGTATTTGTTCATCCCTCCTAAAAAAATTGATGACGTCACCCTTAAATTTTGCTGAATAAATCCTATCTAAAATGCAAAAAATATGATGAGTTTGTACTTGTGATTTATCATTCCATTCCTATTTTTTAGATTTTCTTAAGAGGTGCTTCAAAAAAATTAATGAAGTCAATTTATTTTATTGATTAAATTAAAGGCAACACTTATTATTAGTATTACACCCCAACCAACCCAATTTGGTAGACACAAAATTTGTTAAAGGAAAAACTCGGTTGAAACATAAGGGTAGCACGCTTATTTACATCGACTTTAACATTACAGACCTGCATTTGTTTTATGCGCTCACTTGGTTCCGCGAATGTGAAATAGACATGTTTATAATCAACCAATTGTGAATTTCACCGTCAAGAATTAAAATAAAACCCAATGTTTTATATAATAAGCGGAAGTCGAAGCAATAAAACCGATGGTCGTTTTGTTTACAGTTTCTCTGTTTGACTCTCACGTATGCTGTTACGCCTGTCATCTTAAATTAAGAATGTTTATACATACACGATTTTCAGTTGCCTCTGATACGTATACGTGAGTAAATTGTTTCGTTATTTTATTGATTATTACAAATCAATATTCAAAACGACCCAATTCATTTTCCCGAAAATTTGAGAATATAATAATTTTATTCTTAGTATTACACTACATCTATCCCAACTGATATACGTGTCCTTGCAAAAATGTTGATGACGTCATCGCATTTTTTTTTTAAATTCCCACTACAAAAATGTAATGAGAAAAAAAACACAATAGGCATGCAGTCGTCAAGTTTCCGACAGCGAGGGAAGTACTGTCTAAACTCTTTAGACCAATTTTTTTATAAATGGTTGTAAGTGTCTCAGAGCGTATATTTTTATTGTTCATAGATATAACAGTTGGTTTAAGCGTTATAAAATACATATATGTATAAAAAATAAAATAATAAATAGATCGTAGTGTACATTAAACGTTCGTGACACTCCGTGTGAATAATGTAAAATAATGAAAAACCTTGTTTGTACGTTTAGTAAAATAATTACGAGTGTTCCGATTTTTAAAAACGAAATTGCGTAGGCACTGTTATGTTGATTATTTTGTATTATTGCAAACACTTTTTGATAAATAAAATACTTATCACAAGGGTGTGTCCGATAAAAAAGTTGCAATATACTCATCTTACAAATTTTTTTATCAACTAACTTCCAAATTTCAAACTCCTATCTTTTTAAATATATGATGTATTAAAGTCGAACTTACAAATAGTGATGCTGTCATATCGAATTTTTAAAAAGAATGAAACTAAATGAGTTACGCGTCTCAAGTTCTACACGAAAATATTATTTATAACGCACTTGAAAAACATATTTTTTGAAAATTGAATTTGAAAAGGAAAAAATTATGCTATTTCCGACAAAACCATATAATATTAATAGTAAATGCATTACTGAGCTGTTACAGTGGAGCAGGTGAACGCAGTTTATAAATAAGAAGTACTCAAAAGATATACATTAGTAAGCATTTTTCTTCTATAAATTTCGAAAGTAGTAACTTTAAGTTGACCCTTTTGAAATCAAATGAAAATGAAAACCAATGGTCCAGTTCAGCTTGCCAAATTCCGTATAACTTCCGGTGACTCAGATGTTTCTACTTTTGAGTTACGGCAAGGTATTTAACGAGGTTGAATGTTTGGACCATTGCTTTTCCGTTGTATACAATTGATTTTTTACATTATCGAAATAATGATACCGTATCAGAATATTCTTATCATAATTTTCATGATTTGAAATCTTTAATGATTAATACAAGATAAAACGTCTTGGAATCGTGTCAAAATAATGGAAATGGAAAAGCCCTGCCATATTTACTTCTGGAAAATCCTTATGAGTAGAATATTAACGCCAAGTTCGCAGTCATTTTTTTTATATTTTTCAATCTGTTATACTGTGCCGAGTCTGTTATACAAATTCATATGGAAAAACAAGGCTCATTCAACGTTATGTAAGTACATATTGAATTCTGAGTTCAGCAAATTTAAAAATTATTCGGCCGTCTCGGGTCGTGGCAAGTTTTCTTTGTTTATTCCAAGCAGTCTTGCCGATATTTAAACTAGAAAAAGTTTTTTATGTTTAGATAACTGCAAGTACGGATGTGCTCAGGTCCACCTTGAATGACAGGTGGTGCGGTAAAAACAACCGCAGCCGCTGTCGAGCGAATTAATCACCTTTGCGGGACTCAACTGTAGGAAAGGGATAAGAGACTGGGGATAATTGAAATTTCACGAAACTATCTGTTTCTTCGATCCTAAAAGTTAGCAATCTAGAGACAGTCGTAAAATTCAGGTGTTCTTTGAGTACAATAATAAAACTTACAGCGTAAAGGAAAACGTAAAAAGTAACCTATTTGAAATGAGATGTTTGCAAGCATGTAATAACATTCATCAATGCATTATAAATAATTTAGTACCAATTTCGTCGAGACTATTCATCTTTAATGTAAAAATATTAGACTGCAACGTTATTGACTCCAACTTACGAACGATAACGTAATTGCAACAACAGGATGATCTTTTTTACAGAATAAAGGATTATTTTTAACGTATTGATCTTGATTTCGTACATGTCGTGTTCAGTTCACGAAGATAATACAACGTTTGACATTTGCGGTGTTTGAAATGCCAACTGCAATATTTACTTTGTATTGTTACATTAAACGGGTTCACAGCATATACTTATTTATTCTACTTCAAAGTTCAAGTCATCTCTACAATAAAATTAAATCACTTGATGGTTAGTGCAGCAGACGCATTTCTGCGAAACAGAAGGTAACGAATATTTCTAGAAGCTATATTATGCGTGTGATGAACATGTTAGAAGTTTTTCTGGTAGAAATTTCCTACTGTGAAAATGTGTATCAACATACTGGTAATCACTGACAGGGCGTTGCGTAGATTGCCATAATGGTTCAATTCAAACTAAGCAATATTTATTGCGACAAAATGAATAACTGTGAGTCACAGTCATAGGAGTCCTATTGTAGTTGTCCAACTACATCTGTACTTTATTTGCTTTATCGCACTTTTCTTTTAATTACTTATACGTATACGACTATACGTATAAGTAAAAAGTCCACACTTCACACAAAATGTATGTATTCTGCCACCATTTTAGTTGTAAAATTTTGATTGAACAGTCTAGGACTTAATTTTCCATTTGCAAAACTAATTAATGGTATAATAATTTATTAGAATCTAAATTTTCAACATAATAATTGCAAGAAATCATTTAAAATATCTTTAAAAACCTCTACCTATTGCAATGTTACATATCATAATAACAAAAATCCAAATCTTGACAGGTATTAATGGGACAGTCGAATTGTGTGATGGTTGTCGTTTTTGTAATACTGGAGAGGAAAAAAAGTAGTCTGTAAATAACACTTCATTCAATCAATATATAAACATAAACCACTTCCTTGGAAAATGGTATGATTATCGTATAGCGTGACACGTATGTATTGTCTTAAAAACACAACTGTATTTACCGATGTTATCAAAGTTATTTTGTGTCAAAATCTACGAATTAAATGTAGGTACTAAGACGTTGAAGACATTTTTATGGTCTCAACCATAATAAACTGTTAGATTCGTACTTACATAGTCCATTTTGTCTGTGATTATCTTTTAGTATTTCTTATTTTTTACAGAAATCTATTCGAGGTATACTTAAAACCCTACTTCCTCGAAGCATATCGACCCATCCACAAAGGGGATGTATTCATCGTTCGTGGTGGTATGAGAGCCGTGGAATTCAAAGTTGTGGAAACAGAACCGTCACCATATTGTATTGTTGCACCTGATACTGTCATCCATTGTGACGGTGATCCAATTAAACGAGAGGTTTGTTTAAATGAGTACCGTAATCGTGAAATAAATCTAATTTTTGTTGCAGGAGGAAGAGGAGGCGTTAAATGCCGTGGGATATGACGACATCGGAGGGTGTAGAAAACAACTCGCACAAATTAAAGAGATGGTGGAGCTACCACTGCGACATCCATCTCTGTTCAAAGCGATAGGTGTTAAGCCACCGCGTGGGATTTTACTCTACGGTCCTCCAGGTTAGATATTGAAATTAGCTCATTTGAAATATATAATGAAATACTATGTAAATAAAGTGGCAACATTTTCAAACAATTTCATTTGACAGATTCTTGAGACAAAAAAAATTGAATAGTTTTAACTTCGCGTGATTAATTAGAAAACAAGTTAACTTACTTTAGTATAGGAAATGTGTACGTTTTTCAATATGGTGGGCGTACCATCCCAGCTCACTATAGAATTCCCTTATCTATGTTAGAGATGTTTGCTATGATTAGATTTGTCTCGAGTATTTCCACAGTCGCACTACTATTTTTTGGGTAATTAGTAGACAGCGGATTTCTGTCGGGATACGTCACGATTATAGGTGGGGAGGCGCTGGATCGCCGGACTCAGTAGCGGGTAATAATCCCTGAATTTAATCGTCACTTATTCCATACATACAATTCCCGAAAACTTCATTAGTCAAACGGCTAAGTAAATGAGAACGGGAATGAATAGCAGAGTGCAACGAAGTAGCGTTATTCTAATCTCAAATAAACGAAATGCAGCCCGTAACTGCAATGAATTCCCATCCCGTACGAGCCGTACCGAGTTTGGCCCGACAGAAATCCGCTTTCTAGTTATTAGAGCCGACTTTAACCCCCTATGTGTGCAGGTACCGGCAAGACCCTGATCGCCCGAGCCGTCGCCAACGAAACCGGCGCTTTCTTCTTCCTAATTAACGGTCCGGAAATTATGAGCAAGCTCGCTGGCGAGTCCGAAAGCAATCTGCGGAAAGCCTTCGAAGAAGCCGACAAGAATTCCCCGGCTATAATCTTCATTGACGAACTGGACGCGATAGCGCCAAAGCGCGAAAAAACCCACGGCGAAGTCGAAAGACGCATAGTTTCCCAGCTGCTGACCCTCATGGACGGCATGAAGAAGAGCTCACACGTCATCGTCATGGCGGCCACGAACAGGCCCAACTCCATCGACCCGGCCCTGCGCCGCTTCGGTCGTTTCGACAGAGAAATCGACATCGGCATCCCCGACGCCACCGGACGTCTGGAAGTCCTGCGTATCCACACTAAGAATATGAAGCTGGCCGACGACGTCGACCTGGAGCAGATCGCCGCCGAGACCCATGGCCACGTCGGCGCCGACTTGGCGTCGTTGTGCTCAGAAGCCGCGCTGCAACAGATCAGGGAAAAGATGGACCTGATCGACTTGGACGACGACCAGGTGGACGCCGAGGTGCTGAACTCGCTGGCTGTGAGCATGGAGAACTTCCGTTACGCGATGACGAAGAGTAGTCCGAGCGCGCTGAGAGAGACCGTGGTGGAAGTGCCGAACATCACTTGGGACGATATTGGTGGGCTGCACAATGTTAAGAAAGAGCTGCAGGAATTGGTGCAGTACCCGGTGGAGCATCCGGACAAGTTCTTGAAGTTCGGCATGCAGCCGTCGCGCGGAGTATTGTTCTATGGACCCCCTGGATGCGGTAAAACGCTGCTGGCGAAGGCGATTGCTAATGAATGTCAAGCGAACTTCATTTCGGTGAAAGGACCGGAGCTGTTGACAATGTGGTTCGGTGAATCAGAAGCTAACGTGAGGGATATTTTCGATAAGGTAAGTCCCAGGTTGTTGTATACGTGTGTTCTTGTTTTTGATATTTCTCTCTCTCTCTCGACCGGGACTATAGATTTTTTTGTGATGCGGAGATAATATATGTCACTTTTTTTTGTTCCTGTTATATAGTTTACGAAAGTGCGAGTTTTCTGTTTACAATTTTTTCTGAAACTACATGACGGATGTCTGAAGTTTTTACTAGACAGTGTCATTGATTTAAGGACTATAGAACAGAAAGTTGATGAAATTGTCTCAAAAAGTGGATATACGTTTGAATACTTGTACTTTGGAAATGTTCTTTTAGGATTATTGTTGTAGATTTATTTAAAAAACTGTAGATATCGTTGATTATATCGATAATATAATTTATAAAGTGATACCTAGCCGGTCCGTTATTGCAGAACTTGAGCTGTGCGGATTTTTCATCTTTGAATTGCCACCATGATTTATGTTTAATTTCGGATAGGCGTTGTTAAATCAAACCATGTTAACACATTTAGCCGAATAACTGAAACATATTTGCGTTTATTCTATTAACATGTTTTTCTTTTGCAGGCCAGATCAGCAGCTCCCTGCGTGCTGTTCTTCGACGAATTAGACTCAATTGCCAAATCTCGTGGCGGCAACGTTGGTGATGCTGGCGGCGCAGCTGATAGAGTAATTAATCAAATTTTAACAGAAATGGACGGCATGGGTGCGAAAAAGAACGTATTTATTATTGGAGCAACAAACAGACCAGGTTGGTTCCCCTCAGTTTATCTTTCGATCACTTACTAATTCGCCAATTTTCTTTCTCAGACATCATCGACCCTGCTATATTGCGACCAGGACGTCTAGATCAATTGATTTATATTCCATTACCAGATGAAAAATCTCGAGAAGCAATATTTAAGGCCAATCTACGCAAATCTCCAGTGGCGAAAGACGTCGATCTGTCTTACATAGCTAAAGTTACTCACGGATTCTCAGGTGCTGACTTGACCGAAATTTGTCAGCGGGCGTGTAAACTAGCCATCCGTCAAAGCATCGAAACAGAAATAAGAAGAGAGCGCGAAAGAGCCATGAACCCCAGCAGTGCTATGGACGTAAGTTAAATTTGTAGTTAATTCTCGTTGGCTGGGTGTTAAAATTCCAGTGATTCTGTGTCATCGCAAACACTATCATTTAATTAATATCGTTTGAAGGTCGGGATTTATTTCTCCCCATAACCAATTTCTGTTCTTATTTTGCTGATTGTTTTCTTAAGAAGTATTCTTTGATTGAACAATAAAATGTTTAAAAAGTAGTTTCCTAAATATACCAGGTACTATTACATATTTTGAAAATCAAAGTCTACCTTTAAAAAGCCTGCTCACCATTTGTTCAGTATTTTGATCATCCATGTGTAAGTAGTACAGACGTAGAAATAGCATTTTTTTCATTAAAAGTTGTGCTAATCTTACAAAGGCATAAACTTCACACCAAATCTAAGACCATTATTACTTTCTACAAATAGTTCGATTCTCAACGAATTATTATTGAACTATACGCAACGAACGTTTTAAAATCCATAGTTAAAACAAATTTGTTCGAAATCTTCTCAAACTGCGGACATTCGCGGTGTACCACTGATCACTTGGATCTATTTCTAGTAGTGCGGGTGATTTAATGCGCTCAAATCCCGACTGCGTGACACTACTAATTAAAAATCTGAGTTCTGGTTTGAAATTGGAATTTGTTCGTTGCTAAGTACATCATGTAATTTTTTTTTTTCAGTTGGACGAAGATGATCCGGTCCCGGAAATCACCCGAGCCCACTTCGAGGAGGCGATGCGGTTCGCCAGAAGATCTGTGTCAGATAATGACATTCGAAAATACGAAATGTTTGCACAGACTTTACAACAGTCGCGCGGTTTTGGTACTAACTTCCGTTTTCCATCGGGGACTGGCGGACCCACAGCTCCCGGAGGTACAGGGGGCGATCAAGGTAATTTCCAAGATGATCCTGAAGACGATTTATACAGTTAAATGTTCAGGCTCAATGTGCACCGTCTTTTTTATTTGTATTTGTCATAATTATTTGAATTCAAACAATAATATGTGAGATAGTTTTGAATTATAATAAAAAAAGATTCTGTAATAGGGCGATATTTTATTTAATACATATTTATGAGGTACATTTTATAAGTTAAATTAATCAGACTAAATAAAAGGTTCAAGTTGGAAAGTTTGTTATAAGTGTTTCTTGATTTCTTTTAGTAGGGCGTACTTCGTGCCACAGGAGCCACTTTTGTCGTCTTGATCCACCGCCCATATCATGACTCCGCCAAGTTTCTTCTTTGTGGCAAATTTCACTTTTTCTTTGATTGAGGAGGGGTTGTCAAAGCCTATCCAGGTCAAGCCCTTGTATTTATAGGGGACCTTTTGTTCGTTGTCCCAAACCTCCTTCCAGCCGCTCTTCAGTTTACAGATCTAAGTAGTATTCATAATGTTAAAATCGACGACAACTAGAGTACCTGTATTAATACCTCGCTGTATGGAAGTTGTCCATTGTCTCCATTTATGGGTGCTCCTATACCGTGAACCTTCGAGTTCTTTAGTTTGTAGGAGTGTCCATAAAAGGCCAAACCCAGAATTAATTTGCTGCTTGATGCCCCCTTGTCTTTCCAGTGTTTGATTGACGCTTCGCAGTTGGCGTTATCTTTTTCCCATTGGCTCTCTTTGGAACGTGAGTGCAGTGGCGCGTTTTCACCGGTTTTGCCGTCGGAAACGCCATGGAAGTCGTAAGTCATCACGTTTATGAAATCAACTTGTCTGTAAGATGGCAATGTATGGCACAAGATCAGGATTTGTGAAGTGAGCTTACTCTGCAATTTTAGACACATCGTAGGAACTACTGTCGGGGGTTGAAGCCACTGCCACAGTTAACAAGTAGTTGCCGTTGTCTTTCAGTTTTTTGCGGAGAGTCTTCAGCATGGTGACGAAGTTTTTCTGAAAAAATATGGTACAAGTTAGAAATAGCAGACAAGACATGTACCTAATAAAGTGTAATTTTATTGGAAAGCTTTGAGCAACAGGCGTTCGTTACTCGTGTTACTTCCTAGTTCTGTCAAGAAAACGATACTTCACAGAACTCGCGAATATTATGTTAGCGAATGATGTGAGTAGGCTAAAATTTCGCTTTTGTACGATACTGACAGATATTAGAAGCATAATAATTATTGTCTGTGGCAAGAAGGCCGAAGTGAATTTGGTTTAGTGGGTAATATTCATTACTATATTATAGTAATGAATAGTGACAAAAAGAGAAGCAAAAGAACTGCTTGCTGCATTTGGCATAGTACCTCGGTGGTTTGTTGGTTTGTGTTTTACCTTGTCGGCGGATTTTCCCCCTCTTTGCGCTGGATATTCCCAATCGATGTCGATTCCATCAAACTTGTGTGTCTTCACCAGTTGAAGAGCACTCGACGCCATTTTTGATAACTTTCCAGAACTCGCAGCTACCGAAGAGAACGTTTTAGATCCTTCAGACCAGCCACCAACGCTGAACAGCAATTTCAGTTTGTTGTTTTTCTTCTTCAAGTCACGAAGTTTTCTTATCACATCTGTAAAGTTTTGTCAGAATTAAAAAAAAAAAAAAAAGATAAAAAAGGCAGTGCCTTCTCCACCAGAAAGACGTAAGCTTCCATCGGTTTTGATTCCTACGAAGGCATAGTTGATGTGTGTGCAGATGTGAGGGTCAATATTGCTTGGTGAAAAAGATGAAGCAGACCAACTCTGGTAGTAACAGATGACTTTGTCTGAAAAAAAAAGTCATAGATTTTTAGCGATTTGGTAACATGTTTAAATAGGTACCTGTTGCTGCTGTGGTGTTCTGAACTATCAGGTAATTGAGAAGTATTGTTGCGGCTAGCAATTTGAACATTGTGATGATGGTTGTTGGGAGGGCCGCTGTTGAATGAAGTTTTTGCACGACTGCTCCGTATTTATTGTAATTTTTATCGCCATAATATTGTTCGAGTTCCCATTAATTCTGGTGTAAACAGGCACCGTCAGCAGGGGTAAAACCAGCACTTCGACTGAATACACGTTAATTAAGGCGAAGTAAAAATGTGCTGAAATGCGATCTGTACATTATTAAGTACTTTCTTAAGTAAAGTGTAGTGCCTATAAACTAAAAAAAGTGACACACCCTTAAAAAAATGTGTCTTTACCTACTTCAAAAATTTTTTAAGAAGAAAACTGAACGTAAAAAATCCTGAAATAAATACAAAAGTTGATTCCGTAAATTGTTTTTTTTTTTAAATTAAGGACTATTATGTCAATATAAAATATGTGACTGTATCGTGCTTCTGATTTTGAGATAATTAGATAAACTATTCATGTTTGTATTTATATCTTTGTCTTTTCGTAACAATAGATATAGTTCTTGTGTCCTTTTTAAATTCTTTTGTATTTTGACAAAATTCATTGCCAACATGTGTAGATTTATTTTAGCTAATAACTTCATATTGGAATGAATATGGTTGCATCTAGCGTTATTACTGAAATAAGTCAAGCTTTAATTAATTACTTTTCACAACATTAAGTGGAGATTATTTCAGTGTAGAAAGGACAGGAGTTGAAAAGAGTCGTATATCTTTCGTTTATTTTTATAAGGTACTGTGGTGTCCTAATTTCGAAATTTAAATTTCGCACTGAGAAAAAAAAAACACCGCGAAAACGCATTTAAAAGAATGTAGTACGTAGACTCGCGAGTAGATTCGTGTTTTAGAGCTGAAGGAATTAAGGAAGACCGTTCTGTTGGGTTGGTAACACAGGTACCTAGTTTTTAAAAGGGGCACTTCTTGTGGCTGTAGGTAATAAGTTGTCTCCCAGTGGTCAAGGTGACAAAAAGGGTATAGGTAAATTCTCTCCCGGTTACGCAGATACACGGATTAAGGCTAATGGGCGGCACCGTCGAGACTGTGCAATAATATACAAGAATGTACTTCACCAAAAAAAACAACTGTTTTTATTGAAAAGAATTAGTACATGTAACATCCACGCCACAAATAAGTTATGCGCATGTCCAAATTATATATTTTTGTATTACATTTATAATTAATTTACAAATACATATAATTATGTATTTATCTGCAACCTAAGCCAATAAAAAAATATGTATATACATTTATCTACAAAAATATCACATTGGTACACAGGTACATTTGCAATAAGAGCAAAAGAATATGTTTTTTTGTATAACATTTACAATTAATTCACAAGTAGGTACATATATGTATTTATTTACAATCTAAGCCAATGAAGAAATAACATACAGTTATTTACAAAAATATCACATTGATACACAGGTACATAATATGTATGCAAGAGGCAAAAATAATTTTTTTTATAACATTTACAATTAATTTGCAAGTACATAGCTATGGATTAATCTACAATCTAAGTCAACAAAAAAAACATATGTACACTTATTTAGAAAAATATCACACAGTCAAAAATTTTGTTTTATTTACATCAGTTTGAATTATATTTTAAAAAATAAACATTATAATCTCAAATTTTTCTAGGTTTATATTATATGAAACAATTTTTATAAACTCCAACATTGTTATGTCATGTCTGGCTAAGTTTTCAATTTTTTCTTCTAAGAAGGTAATTCTTTCTAGATATTTCTTATCATAAATGACTTTACTTTGATTTACACTTCTTTGTCTAATATATGAGTTTACTTGAAAATTATTCAAAACATCTATAAAAGTGTTAATATTGGGATGCGCTAAATTGCAACTCAATAATTTGAAAACAGGTAAATTAAGGGTAGGAGGTGTTTTTAACAAGTAAACCACCCCTAATGTAGGATTGGGTGCGAGAGACAATTTACCTGCGGTCGGGGGACAACTTACTATGGTTTTAAGAAATTTGTACATTTGGGAGACAACTTATCTCCTCCGCTTCTTGTTTGGTGTGAGTGTGAACGATAATCTCTGTGTTAGTTCGTGTCTCTGTGTGAACCCATTGTGAATCATAGAGTGTTAAAATTGGTACGTGGAATCGCATTTGACAACATTGTCCCCCCCTCCCCTCGATAATTATAGTAAGACTGGTAAGACTATACTTAAGTGTGCCTATTTTCTAATCTGAAATATGTAAAACTTTGATTATTCCATCAACTTGTGTTATTCTTGTTTTACTGTCGTTTGTAAATTTACAGTTCCGATTTTGAACTGTTCATGAATCTAATACAATGTAACTACAATAATGTAAATGTCATCATTGGTAAATATTTATATAAAACATGTGACAGGAAATTGGTTTATTCAGATTTCACTGTTTTTTTTTTATCATGATATATCTATAATTCTGGTTGTCTTTATTTAATTATCCACACTTTTAAACTAATTTTAAACAATGATTTTGGAGGTATCACAGTTAAATTAACATCAACGCGGATTCGAAACGGGAGAGTTTTAATATTTTCTTATAGATTTAATTATTTTCTTGTAGAATTAATTTGAATAATTATTCCAGATTTATTATTTTGATTTTGATCGTATTTCATTTGTGCTTATTTCATACGTGTTTTGTTTATGTGATATGGGGTTTGCTTCTGGTCCAATTTCAGATAAATGCGGTTAACTAAAAGGATGCCGACGTGAACAGTTCCCTAACTATAGTTCTTAACTTAACACGTGGCGGACTTTTTTTAACTCAAGCATAACTAACTGCACGAGTTGAAGTTCATCGGTCAATTGCAATAAAGTTAGTAGGGGGAATTTTAAGGCAAGTTGTCTCGTAAAATCTTTCTTTTATTCCGTTACGGCGTGGGGTACCTAATTCTTCGTCGAATGAGCAAGTCTTCAGACCTCTGGCAATCCGCAAGTGGATGACGATTGCTGAGGTCAATTATGTAACCCTTGTTCCGCGAGAATGGTGTATGTTGTGACTCATGAATCTCGCAACATAACCTAAAACTAAAAACAGAGGAGAGCTCGATCGCCTTGATCAGAGCCATTGTTACCTTAACTTATGATTATGATCTATGATCTGTATTAGATTTCTTTTTTCTTTTGATGTCAATGTGATGGAATAAAAGTTGGGTTAAAATTTTCATTTGAATTTGCGTTCTGCTACTTTACTTGTCACTAAAGCACAAACAACCAAGTTCAGATAAATGAGATAAATTATCTGTAGATTTTATTTTTCTATCATAATGTTTTTAATTAAAAACATTTTAATTAAGAACGACTGTTTCGTAAATGCAAAGTTTATATAATCATAAAATTACTTTTACAAATTATTAAAATATGGGTGAAAATAGAGGAGCATGTCAGATTATAAGTTTCAAACTTGAAAGGGATGAACGGGTAGGTTTAATAAATCACATTTTGCCTATTTTAAATGGAATCTACTTACCAAAATTTTGAGATGACATCATTAAATTTTTAGTGTAGCTGTTCAGACAAAATAATAGCTGCAGGATTTTCTTAAAATATATCAGTCTAGTAAGTAGTCTTCGAGATTAACTGTGAAGTCTATATTTTCGTTATTTTTCTACATTCTTATTGATTGTTACTCAATGTTTTATACTTTTAGTGACTCCTTCATAACATTCTTTTTATTTCAGACGCCTGGTTCGTTCTTTTATATTTGTCAACTCTTTTTTCAGTTAAGTTGAAATAAATAAAAGAAAATTTACATTAAATATCGAGTGCCCCAGTGGAGCAACCGCACGCTCATACAGTAGGTATTTGTTATTAAAATAATAACTGTTGTTACCTGATATTATTATTAAGTGAAAAGTATTGTAAGCAGAATTTTTAGTGCAGGTCTTAAAGGCGACAAAACCAATTAGTTTTAATTGTTAACTCCCATTTAAGACACATATCTCAGATGGCGAGGGTGCATTTTGCGGGCAGTTAGTCAGATTCAGGCAGAGTGAGTGTAAAGTAGCCGATGGGCGCGAAGGCCCAGCTATGTTGTAATGGTTTGACAGGGTCGGACTCGGGTTGAATGATAAGAGCAAAGAGTTGAGTGTTAAGGTGTTGGTAAGAGAAGGTGGCAGGTTAGGGTGAATCTAGCCATGAGAGCAGTGTTGACACGTAAAATCTCCGGCAGATACCATGGTATGTACCAGGGTATTGAGGGCGTAGTCAGATCAGGTCACATGACACAGCAGGTTGGTGAAAGTCGCGAAAGGGGTGTCCTGTCTGTTGACCGGTTGACCGACCGGTGGTGACGGTGGTGGCAACCGAATGCAACAGAGAATACGTTTACTGGTTTAGTTTGGGAGATTCATCCGGTTTCTGGAGGAAACATAGTGACGTATGGGCGTGGAGGTGTCCTCTGAACTCCTCTCCACTTTGGCCGTGACAGTGCTACATCTGAGGGGGCTGTGGGAAGGCAGTACGTCCCAAACTGTACAGCTAGGGCAATTGCAGATAACTCTACAACGTCACCAAGTGATCGCGTGCCGAAGACGACGCGACGCCGTGAGTTGGAACCGCTGATCAACACGGAGTGGGCTAGGGGGTGGAGATCCCCCGGTGAGTGACCCCATTTTTAATCATAAGCGACAGATAAGTCAGGTATGTTTGTTTTCATATTCATGATTGGGGCCGAATTGTCGCGGGGCCGGACCTGTACTAGAGCGTCACATATAGGGCTGAGTGAATCTGTCGCTGTAGTCGTTTGACCGTCGTTGATAATGAATATTTGTTGATAATTTGCGCTAAAGCCGCTACCTGGCCAGAAATCGTTTTACAGTATTTGACTTTTGATTATTTTAAGCGGTTAAATTCTAAATATACTCCATTTTACGGTACCAAAAAACCTTTCGACAACAATTAATACATGTTTATGACTGACATTATTACGAAGATCTATAAACAAAGTTCCCAAATGGATGGTGATAAAATGTTTTGTTATTGTTTATGTGACAGGTCAAGTTTGGATTGCGGAGGA